TTTTTTTTTTTTTTTTTTTTTTTTTTTTTTTTGGTACTAGGGATCAAATTCAGGTCCTTGCGCTTGCGAGGCAGGTGGCGGAACATGTGTAGTCATGTTAAAGCTGTAGTGTTTGGGACATTTTGAGATTGCTGTAATCTTCTCTTAAATGAGATTATAGTGACCCACTGTCCAATTTTTGTGAGGCTTCTCTGCATTGAGCTTCAGATAGATGTGAGGTCAAAGCCCCTTACATTTTAATGTGTCCTAGGTTCCCTGGGAACCTTATTAGAATCTTATTAGAATGTAGATTCCGACTCAGAAGTTTGAGGTGGATCTTCCAGGCAAACTAGGCTGTGGACCTCGTGTGAGCAGTAAGGTATTTGGACCTTTTTGGATTGTAAGGCATTAGAGGCAGTGAATAGACATGTAAAAGTGTTTTTCAGACTTTGGTGTGTTCACATTTTCTTGTGAAATTTAAACTAACTTTTAAGTTTAAAAAGTTGTACTCTACATGAGCATGCATAAGTGTTAACCATTTAAAGCTGTGCTAAATGCATGTCTTCATCACGGTTGACCCAAAGTTCATTTTTAATTGGCTTTGGAATGCATTATGTAATTTTTTTGGCAAGATACTTACCTTCTTAATTATGTTTTGTTTAAGATAATGTTGAAATCAGCTTGCATCCTGTTCAGCACACACACTAATTGATGGTAGAACAACTGACCTGGAAATGTGTTCCATCCAGAGCAGAGGGCAACCTACTGGCCTGAGATTCAAACAGTTCCCATGGACAGTCTATGAAATAGAAGCCCCACTATTGGCCAGACACAGGAACTAACTAGCTAACTCTCTAAAGCTTTTCCCTTTACTGATATACCAAATCTAGACCCAGAATTTGGAACGGTGATCACAATACTAATTCCAATCAAAAACTTGATTTCAATGAATAATATACTTGGAGACCCAAAGCATCTCATCTTTCTCTCAGAAGCTAGTTTCAAAATGTGCACGTTGCAGTGATTTGGTGACTGATTATATTGCCTTAAAAACTCCTTCTGGAGATATATTCACCTACCATAAAATTCAGTCATTTCTGCTAAGTTCAATTTAAAACATACAATGAAATGGTTTTTAGATATTCAGTTACACAGTGTACCACAATTTTCTTTTCCTTTCTTTTTCTTCCTTTTCCCTACCTTCAGTGGTGAGGGCCTTTGGACTGAGCCACACCTCCCAGCACTTATTTTTTTATTTTAAAACAGTAAAACATGTTCATAAACTCCAAAGTGAACCTGTGCCCATTTGCAGTTAGTTATCCTTTTCTCTTCTCTCCCCCATCTCTTGGCAACTGCTAGTCTATTTCCTATTGCTATGCATTTGTCTATTGAGATTCACTCATATATATGGTCTTTTGTGATTGATTTCTTTCACAAATGTTCTCAAGGACCCTTCATGTTTGACACATGTGGGTGTTCGTTCTGTTTTTAAATTGCCAAATAATATTTCATTGTGGATATTCCACATGTTGCCTAGGCATTAACTATGGATAAAATATATTGAGAGACTTTGGTTATTTTCTGCTTTTGGCTGTATGAATAATGTTGTCATGAACATTTGTGTCCAAGTTCTTATGTGAACAGATGTTTTTCTTTCTCCTAGACTATGGATAGTATTTCCAGATCATATAGTGGCTCTATGTTTAACATAGAGTTTCAGAAACTGCCAGACTAAAATGCCCACATCAATTTTCATACCACCAGAACGGCATGAGGGTCTAATTTTTTGATTTCTTAGACAACGTTTATGATCGCTTAATTATAACCATCCTAGTGGATTTGGAAGGATCTCTAATTATAATTTTGTTTTGTATTTCCCTAATGGTACTATTTTCAGCATCTTTTCATGTACTTATCAGCCAATTATATATATCATGTTTGGAGAAATGCTTGTTCAAAGCTTTCACTCATTTTTAACATTGTTATTATTGAGTTGGTAGAATTCTTTCCATATTCTACATACAAAAACCCTCATTAGATGTATGATTTGCAAATATATTCTCCCATTGTGTGGGCTAGCTTTTTTTTTTTTTTTTTTTTTTTTTTTTTGGTACCAGGGATTGAAGTCAGGTCCTTGCGCTTGCAAGGCAGGCCACCAAACTGCTGAGCTAAATTCCCGGCCCTTAGCTTTTTGCTTTCTTGATGGTATTATTTGCAGCACAAAAGTTTACATTTTGATAAAGCCCAATTTATTTTTACTTTACTGTTTGTGCTTTGGCTGTCATATCTAAGAAACTATTGCCTAACTGAAGGTCATGAAGATTTACTGCTATATTTTCTTCTAAGAGTTTCATAGCTTTAGCTTTTAAGTTAGGTCTATGGTTCAAAGTTGATTTTTGTTAAGTTTTTGTATGGTATCAAGTATGGGTCTAGTCCTTTTGCTTGAGTTGTCCCAGCACCGTTTTTGAAAAGCTGATTCTGTCCTCCATTGGATTGTCTTGGCACCTTTATTAAAAAGCAGTTGACCATAAATCTCAATTAAATTCTATTTCTGGACTCAGTGCTATGCTATTGGTAGATATATCTGGCCTAAGAAGATTTCCATCCTGTCTTGATTGTTGAACTCAGGACCTTGTGCTTGCGAAGCAGTCATGGTGCCCCTGAGCTAAATCCCTGGCCAAATTTCTGTAGCTTTTTGTAGGTTGAGTATCCCTTTTTTTGAAATGCTTAACATTAGAAATGTTTTGGATTTCAGATTTTTTATTTTGAAATATTTGCATATACATCCTAAGGTATCTTAGGTATGGGATCCAGGTTGAAACACAAAATTCATATATATGTATATTTACACATTTATATGCTTATTTCATAGATAATTTATACACATCACTTGAAGAAAATTTTATACATTTTTAATATTTTTGTGCATAAAACAAAGTTTGCATACACTGATCCATCAGAAAGCTCTCAGCTACACATATGAACAATATAACATGGTATCACCATTATTCCTGATGAATCAATGAGTTTCTTTGCCTATGTCATGACCAACTGATGCATTGTTGCCACAAATAAAGACTTGGTGCTGTGCCTTTTCCTAAATTTTTGGAGCCAGCCAATTGAAAATTCATAGCTCTCTTCTATTTGGACTCCATTGCAATAGGACTTTGTTTGTTTCATTGCCAACATACCATTAAGTAATGCATGTTTGCCTTGATGCCAAGGGACCCACTCTTTCAATACATGACTGGAATCTTTATTTTCAGCTATACAAAATGTATTTCTTTCTTTTAACTAACTTCTGTTTATCCTTTCCATCACAGAACTCTACAGTTTACCCTTCTGTTTCCTCAGGGTCAGATATGATGGTCGTTCCAACACATACTCTGCTGTGAGATGTTTCACACGTTGATATCCAGTTGCTCCAACAGCTGGACTTTCTGCACCATAAACAGAAATACTCCCTCTTTTTCTTTTCATAGGCTTATCTTTATGCCCGCTTGACATTTTCAACAGTATTTTTAATCTTTTTATAATAGCAGAAAATAAACCGAATAGCAACAATAACAGAACCCACAGAACCAACAAACAAGTGCACGCCTTGCATAGAGGTCTTGGCACTGTGGGTGGCTTTGTGGATAACCTGCCGTTGGTGTATCCATGACAAATTGTGCAAAGGCCATTTATTATCCTTAGTGGGAGTGTTTGCATGTAGTGATGTGGGTGTGCAGAAAAAGACCTATGGCAGGGGCAGGGGATGTAGCTCGGTGGTGATGCCACCTGCCTCACAAGTGCAGGGTCCTGAGTTTGATTGCAGGTACAAAACAACTATGGGAACTGTAGGGCTTTGAGTATATATGTTTGCCTTTGGAGCTACTGAATAAATTGTGTTGTGCACCTGCAGTTTTGGTTGCAACTTCCACATGGAGCCAAGTGTTGAGTCCTCTACCTGTGGTGTCGTGAAAGTCTCAGAATTAAGGTCTCAGAATTAGGAGAATTTCAGGGTTTAGAATCTGCTAGTGAGTTTGAAATTGAGAAGCCTGTCTTCCCATGTTCTTTTCTCAAGATTTTTTTTTTTTTTGGCTTGGATGTTCTGAACTCTTTCATTTTAATATGAACTTTATGATAAATTCCTCATTTCTTCAATAAAACAACCTGGCATTCTGGTAGAGATTGTGTTGAATTTTTAGATTTGTTTGGGAATTCTTATTAATGAACATGTATCATTTATTGAGACATTCTTTAATTTCTTTCAACAATACTTTGTAGTACTTTATCCTTTAAAGCACATGGCAAATCCCAGATAAATTGGGTGTTATCTGCATAAACCCCACAGGTGTGACAACTAATTTTTAGATGTGTAAAACATTCAGATGTATGCTCTTGACAAAAATCTATTATTGAGCTTTATACCTGAAGCAGCATTGTTTTGGCCCATCCCAAGCAACTTTTACAAAACTGCACCTTGACATTATCATTAGTAATAGGTAACATCTACTGGCAAGCTTCTCACACACACTAACTTATTTAACCTTTCCAAAAACTAACGAGGTGAATATTGTCTAATCCCCACTTCAGAGGTAGGCACAGAGCTTGCCCAACATTCTGCAGCTGGTAATTTTAGAGCAGGAATTTGAACCTCCCAGACTGTCTTTGCAATTAGAACACTTAACCACTGTTTGGCAATATGTGTAGCTGCAAAAACTAATTTGTGTATTGTGACAGTTACAGTGAAAAGTAAACACATTCCCCACTCAGGACCATTTTTGTCCTCTAGCAACCATGTTCACCTCCTTAGTGTGGCTTTTTTTTTTTTTTAGCTTTTCTGTGGCTTTTAGGATGTCACAAAGACTCAGTATTCTGTGGCTTTCCCAAAGTGCTCCATTTTCTGTGGTGTGCAGTTTCCTCTTATGGAGCACTCGTAGGAAAAATTTTCCACTCATTTTGGAATAAAAAACAATGTTGTGTTTCCTTAATACCCAGGTTTTCAAGATAGACATCTTGAATATTGTAACAATATATGTTTTCCTCTTTTATGGATCACTTATAAACTTAGAACAGCTGGGCACCGTGGCACATGCCTGTAATCCCAGCCCTTGGGAGGCTGTGGCAGGAGGATCACTATGAGTTTGAGACCAGCCTGGGCTACATAGTGAGTTCCAGGTCAGTCTCAACTACATAGTGAGACCCTGTCTTAAAAAACAAACAATCAAAAAAATAACAATAAACTTAGAGCAAATTTTGCAGCCACTTCTGGTAGTTATTTCACACCTCACCCTGCAATCATTTATGTTTTATTTTTACCTCATTATTATTCTTGCCTGATTTACTTATGAATTTGCTCTGGATTCTTTGGAAGTGGGTAAAGAATAATGAATTAATTAGTAAATAATTAAATGATAAGAGCTTCAAGTGGGAGTAGAGCAAGGGAGATGAAATTTCAGCTCAATTTGGCAGCTCTAGAGATTTTTGCAGTCATTTGTCAGTAAAATGAAGATTTCATAAATTAGAATGGATAGCTATGGATCCAGTCATGGGAATAACCTTCTATAATTAGTTAAAAATCAAGAAAGGAAAAAGCAATGACTTTATCTTTCAATTTTACTTTATTATACATTCTAGCAATATCATAATAACAATATAGTAGTAATCACAAAAAAGGATAAAGGGAGCAGTGGGAGGAGGAGTAAAGGGACGTAAATGTGCATAATTATTATGTATCACAAACCCACACTAATAAAATATTAGTAGGTAGGATAAGTTTGTGCAGGATCTGAACACTTTAAGTGCACTTCACCTTACAAAACTTGATATTAGTGATCTTTTAGTTGCTGGGTTCATTCATTTAAATAAACTGGCTGTAAGATTAAGAATTTAAAAATCTCAGCAGTTAGTTTTTCTTTAAAATGACTTTTATTGAAGTAAAATGTATATACAATAAACTGAATTTTTAAAAAGTATGTATATCTTTCAGTGAGCTGTGGCATCTAAATGTAGTCATATAACCAACATCAAAATCATCCCCAAAACTTGCCTCTTATGATTTTATGGTGAATCCCTTCCCCCTACCCTGGCCCCTGGCAAATATAGCTCTATTTTATGTCTATACAGGTTTGCCTTTTCTAGAAGTTCATAAAATGTACAATGCATAGTCTTTTGTGTCTGACTTCTTTTATTCAGCATAATGCTTTTGAGATTTATTCATATTGCTGAGTATCAGTTGTTCATTTTTTTATTGCTTAGTAGAATTATTTTGCATGTATATATCACAGTGTACTTATCCATTCATCAGCATATGGACATTTGAGTTTCTTCTACTTTGGAGTTTTATGAATAAAGCTGCCATGAATACTCAAGTGTGGGGGAATTTGTGCAAGATGATAGTATATTTAACTTTATGAGAATGGCAGTTAACTTTCAAAGCTCATTTGCAAATTCAAATGAGATCATTAAGAATAGAAGTTATTGTTTTCGCACACAATTGATTATAGCCTAGGATGACCTGAAATCCATTCACAGTAAGTCCCCAACTGTATGACTGGGGAGTTACTTTGCTTTGATATGCCAGTCCCATCTGCTTCTGTATGTGTCCAGCACATGTACTCCTAGGGCCTCATTTGAGAAGGAGCAGAAGAGAAGACTTGAAGGTTCATTGTAATCCTGAGTCTTAGTGATACTTTCAACTATAGGAGTTGAACCTGAAAAGCAGAAAAATGGAGGAAGGGAATATTGTTGATACAAAGAGAAAAAGGTTCCGAAGTTCCAAATAAGCTGATCTCAAAGGAAATACGTTGCTTCACTCCCGGTAATTCCTGAACAACTCCTAGAAGAGATCCTGCCACTTATTTCTGGTTGGGGAGGGGAATAATCATCTGAACAAATTCATTAGTTGTAATATCCTAAACCCCTGAAATATCTCCATCTGTCTGCAATTTCTTTTACAGAGAACAAAAATATTTCACATACAACTAGAGACAAAAATAGGTTTCACTTGAATTAGAAAAGCTACTTATGTTGAGAGTTAATTATCAGGCACAATAAGGATATTACAAATACATGCTCGATCAATCATTCCAACGGTCCTGTCTGTGCAGGAGATATTATTAACTTTATTTGGTAACAGAGATGATAAAACTGATAGGTTAAGAAACTTTATTTTTAATGTGAACATTGCCTTTTACGGGTCAATAAATAAGCTCTGTGTCCAGAGATTTTTTTTATCATACATAAAAGCCTACAGTTTTGCTTGAAATGATATGAAAGATTTCTGAAAAACAAGATTCTTAGTAGAGCAACATGTTGTCTGAAGATACATTGATTGAAACTTCACTATTTTGCACATAGGGCAACTATAGAAACATAATTCTTGGAACCATGAACATCTAGTGCTATTGATAAATTAAAGAAGTATTTATGTAGAAGTAGAAACTTACTGAGTGCTGGAACTTTTTAAGGGTTATTTGAGTTTTTTTTCCCCTCCCAAACGTGTATCTTCAAAATTTTTAAAGTAAGAAGAAAACAAATGAGTTTATTATTCTTTACAGATAAATACAGGTTTTCAATACAAAATATTTCATTTTTTCTCTTTTGTCCTATATTACTTTTAAATGTATGTACCTGATTCACTTACTTTTAATGACAGTTTGTATTTGGAATTTTTGTGCTAAATGTTCAGTTCTCATAAACTGTCATGATTTTTCTGTAGAATGAACATTTTTTAGTTAGATCTAAACAGCTTAAGCATTTTATCAAAGTATCCTCCATGTTTGCTTTCACAGGCAATTAAATAGGAAACAAATTCTGCCAATGTATATAATCTGGAAACAGATTTGCCATCAACAGTATAAGATCTCGTGGGTAGACTGATTGCACACAGCATGCATTGACTTTGAGCTACAGATTTTTTTTTTTTTATTGCCAGTTTGCAACAGGAAAACCCCTCCTGCAGCCCAGAATCTTCCTTGAATACCACCGAGCCTAAAGCTGTCACCATTCAATTGCCAAACAGGGTGCTTCTGCCAGACAGTTTGGTCACAGTTTCTCATTAGCAGGCACCTAGCTTGGGCATGGCCAAAAGCTTAGGAGGAGTGATAGTATCTCACCTCTTTGGGGCATCAAAAATCAGCATGTGAACTTCTTGCCACGTTCTTTTGGTGTTCTTTTGCATCCCAGAGTGGAAGCAAATGAGTTCTACCAAAGTGAAGTGAAGTAGAGCTGTCCAGGTGCCAGCTCTGAATGGTATTTATTTAAAAATCAGACAAAGGTCTACTATCTAGAATATATAATGAACTAAAAAAAATCAGATTTTTAAAGACCTGATTCAAAAATGGGCATCTGAAATGAACAGACATTTTCTCAGACAAAGAAGTAAAAGCAGCAAATAAATACATGAAAAAATATTCGGCATCAATGGTTATTTGAGATGAAAACAACACTGAGATTCCACCTCACCCCAGAAAGAATGGCTGCTATCAAGAAATCAACCAATAACAAATATTGGCAGGGCTGTGGGGAGAAAGGAACCCTTCTCCATTGTTGGTGGGAGTGCAGACTGGTGCAACCACTGTGGAAATCAATATGGAGATACTTTAAACAACTAGGATTGGAAGTCCCATTTGACCCAGCTATTCCCCTGCTGGGCGTCTTTCCGAAAGAATTAAAAGAATCATACCACAGCGATGTACGTGTACCATGTTCATAGCAGCACAATTCATGATAGCTAAAACTTGGAAGCAGCCCATTTGTCCAGCAACTGGGGACTGGATAAAGAAAATGTGTGTGTGTGTGTGTGTGTGTGTGTGTGTGAGTGTGTGTGTGTGTGTGTGTGTGTTTTAAAAAATAAAATGGATTACTATTCAACCATAAAAAACAAGAAGTTAAAGACATTTATAGCTAAATGGATGCACAATGAGGCTGTATTCCTAAGTGAAATGAAGAGGACACACATGTGTAAATATTGAATAGTTTCTCTGGTGTGAGAAACTGAAAGTGTAAATAAGGATCAAAAGGTATAATTGGTAATGTGAAATGGGAAGAAAAGTTGCAAAGGGGAAGGGGAAATGGGAGGGGTAGGGGAATGGAAAGAGGGGAGTAGAATTAACATGAGAAAAGGAAAAGACTCTGCAGTGGGGTGGAGGGGTTGAAGGTAGGGCAGGGGAATGAGGAGAAAATAAGAACCAAGATATATCATGTAAAGGTACATGATCCCAATGATGAATGTCGTCATATCATATACCTAAATTGTACCAATAAACTTAATGAATTAAAAAATCTGGTTTAATAGGCTAGAAGTCTATTCACCAAGGAAGGGTCGGACCACAAGATGTGAAACTTTCAAGGGATGCCGTTAAGAAAGGTACTAAGTACCCCAGTGACAGGAAGAAGCATGGCTTTTGTCAAAGATATCACTGCCTTCAATTTGCCTGACCTGAAAGACCACCAGGGATCTTAACCAAACATTCTGAAGAAGTACTGATCAGCGACGGCGAGAAAACACCCCAGAGGAACCGAAGGAGTGGCACCCAAGAATGGAGTTAAACGGACCTTTATTAGTCTGGCCAGACGGACCCTCCAAGCAACGACTTGGAGAGTGCCTGGAGCCCAGAGTACAAGAGGGTTTTATATGTTTCTAGATGGGGGCGTGGGGGGGGGAGCAAGCAAAATTACAGAAGTGAAATGCGGCGGTTAGAAGAAAGGAACAGAACGTATAGTTTGCACAGGATGAGGCTGACGTTTCCGTGACAGAGCTGTGGTTAATCTCCATAGGAATGCCGTTTCTGTGACAAAGTGTAGGGCTATGGTTAATCTTTAGGGGAATCATCTATCTCTTCTACCTGGAAGGTTCACACTTGGTGTTTGTTCCTGACCATTGTCCTGAGTAAACTCTGCCTTTTTAGTGACCTTGGGCCTTTCTTGTTCTCTCAAGAGAGCGAGTTTAACCTTAACTAAGATGGCGTCCATGCTGGCACTTTACGCCTGCCAGACCGACCTCCTAGATAAATTGGTCTTAAAAGAAGCAGCATTGATCTAGAAGAGGTGTTTGGCTGCTTTTTGAGAGAAAGAGAAAAATGCTTTGCAGTATCACAGGCCCCATGTGAAAGAGTTTCCAAGGGCTATGCTCTACTAGAAGGGACAGCTGGCTACTTCCCACACCCCCATGACAGCACACTCTGTTCCCTGCCTGCAGAGCCTTCTGGATTGGAGGTTTGTCAATTAGAGCCTTAGAAAGTGAATATACAATCAAGACTGATGGCTGATATTTAAGGTGAAGTCTTAAACAAGGAAAAAATGGCAGAAAGAGGTTAAAACAGGAATCTATATCCTATAACCTTACACATATCAGGATTTGATTTTTCTTCTTTGGAGATTTTAATGACTTTTTAAATTTTTCCTTACTTTCAGAATCACCTTAGTTGAGAATCACCATTAGTTTCAGAATCATTAGTTTTAGAATCACCTTAGTTTAAATAGTAAAAAGATTTGACTATTCGGGGTAGTATTTCAATCCAGAAATGGTCTTTTAACTGACTGTAGATAGATGCCCAAGGTGATAGCATTAGGAGGTGGGGATTTTGGTGAAGTGGTTAGATTAAGAGGGTGGAGATCCTCTGACTGGGAAGAGCACACAGAAAATTGGCCCAAGAGAGCTCATTTGTTCTTTGTACTACACAGGGACACGCAGCAAGGAGGCACCACCTATGAACCAGTAAATGTGTCTTGGCCAAACCCCATCTCTGCTGATGCCCTTGTCTTGGGTCTCCCAGCTTCCAGAGCTGTAGGAAGTAGATTTCTTTTGTTTATAAGCCACCTTGTGAATCAAATTGTGCTATAGCAGCCTAAATGGACTGAGACATTCTCCAGTAAAATCAAATATGTCTCCATTTTCTCTCTCTTTGAAATCATATTTTTCCTAAGAATTATAAGTTTTCCTTATGTTAAACTCACACATTGTAAAGGTTTATATGTAAGTGTTTTATATGGGGGGGCATTAGTGTAAATGATGTCAGATGTTTAAATTCAGGTTCCATTTGTTCACTGGTGATATGTACCAAAGTGACTTTTATATGTGGTTTAGCCTTGTACCTTGCACCCTCGGTATAATTGCTTTTTAGTTTCAGGAACTTACTTTTGACAATTAGTTGAGATTTTCTGTATAGATAATTATGTCATCTTTGTATGGAGACAATGCATTTATTCCTTCACAATTTGTTATACAATTTCCTTATTATATTAACTAGGACTTTTTTTTTTATTAGTACATGCTTGCAGTACAGAATGTTTACATTCCTTGTGTGGAGTTGGCACTTGCACATAGCACATCTTTTTTTCCTTTTTTCATCTCTTTCCATCCCTCTGACTCCCTGCATCTGAGTCTTTTCTCATTTGAGAAAAATCTGTCTCCTTACTTCATACTACCTATCTGTTGTTTTGCTCTTTATGTAGAATTTGGGCTTCTCATACACGAGAAACCATGTGATATTTAAGCTTGTGTGTCTAACTTATTACACCTAATATTACAGTCTCAAGGTGCATCAATTTTTCTACAAATGACTCAGGTTTTGTAAGGACTGGGGAAGGGGACATTATCGGGACCTCTACTGTGGGTCCAGGCCTGTGAGCCACCACAGCGCAAGGTGAATTAAAAAACAGACAGAAACAACACTTAGAGTGAAGAGGCTGGTCCTGGGAATTGGTCAGTGCTGCTGATGGCAACAAAGACAAAAGGCCCCAAGCACACTCAGTATTTATTGAATACAATTGTGTGAAAGAATAGGGAGCTAGGGAGCTTTGAAGCCATCTAGTGAATTACTGCCAAACACCTGGCACGACAGCACCAGGCAAAGCTGTCAGGGAGTAGGCACTGCTTATCTTGCTGGGATAGAAGAAACTGGTACTGGGACCAGGTGCAATTAGCAAGTAACCCACAAGGTCAGTGAGAAGCAGTAATTCAGAGGAAAGGATTATAATTGGGGTCACGCTGACCTCAGCAGCACCTAACTCAGCAGAGCCCTGCCACTTCACAGATGAGGAATTAGGCCTCGGTGACAGCCAAGGAGCAATGCTAGCCCAACTCTGCTACCTGACATGCCCATTTGAGTCACGTAAGGCTTTGTTCTGACTCCTGATAAAAAGCAATATAGCCGAATTGAGGAAAGCAAGAAGCAAGTGCCACTCATAGCCCACTAGTACTGGACAGGCCCATCTGCTGCAAGGTTTATCTTCCTTTATTACTGAATATTAATCCACCGTATGTGTGTGACGCATTTTCTAAATCTGCTCCTCTGTTGATGGAGCTATAGGCTGCTTCCAAGATTTAGCTATTATGAATTGTGCTGCTATAAACATGGGTGTGAATACATCACTGTAATTTGATGTCTTTAACTCTTTCTGGAAGATACCTAGATGGAGGATAGCAAGGTCAAATGAAATTTCTAATTTTTTTTCTTTGAGGAATCTCCATACTAACTTCTGGAGTAGTTGTACTAGTCTGCACTCCCACCAACAATGTAGAAGGGCCTTTTCCCCACAAGCTTTCCAGCATTTGTTATTGTTTGATTTCTTTTTTATTTTTTAAACTTTTTTTCAGCTTTAATTGAGTTTATTGGTACATTTTAGGGGTACAGTGTTATTGTTTGATTTCTTGATCATGGCCATTCTTTCTCAGGTAAGATAGAATCTCAGTGTTGTTTTCATTTGCATTTCTCTAATGGTGAGCATTTTTGCAAGTCTTTTTTGGCCATTCGTACTTCTGTGAAGTGTTTATTCATTTCACTTGCCCATTTTTTTTTGATTGGGTTTTTTATTTTGAAAAGGGTCTAATTTTTTTAGTTCTTTATACATTCCTCTGAGGAATAGCTGGCAAAATCTTTTCCTACTTGGTAGTATTATAGATTATATCTAGATGTCCCCTCAAAGCCTCATGCAGTCATAGATGAGGCTATTTGGAGGTGGCTGAGTCTAAGGTGTGTGATACTGGGGTTAAGGGTGAGATGCTGGGGTTAGGAAAGGCCTAACCTGGGTGTAAGTAGCACCACCCAAAAAGTGAAAGGATAAAGGGGAGAAGCAGGCTGCTGCTTCTGCTGCTATTGCTGCTGCCTTCTGCCCATCTTGCCTGGACAGTATTTCCTCTGCGATGCGCCTCTGCCACGCCCCTGCCTTGGAGCCAGCTGATTATGAATGGAAACCTCTACAAATGGGGAGCTAAGATAAACCTTTCCTCCTTTAAAGTCAGGTGCCAGGTATTTTGTCCCAGAAATGAGAAAAAGCAACTAAGATTTGTAGGTTGTCTTTTCACTCTGTTAGTGTCCTAAAGGAAACCGTGCTGAGATTTAACAAATGGGACCATATCAACCTAAAATCTTCTGAACTAAGACTTTCACTACAGTGTTGAAAAGCACTGGTGAGATTGTTGTTCTTGATATTAGTGAGAAAGCTCCTAATTTCTTACTACTATCAGGTTAACTGTAGATTTTGTAGGCATTTTTTATCAAGTTGGAGAAATTTCCCTCTATTCCTTTTTTCCTCTGAATAATATAATTTGGAGAACTTCTGTCATGAATATTAATAACAGTTTTACTGTTGTTGTTGTTTTTTATAGCTCATAGCATTCTGTTGTGTGGATCTACTATTTTCACTTAACCTGATCCCTATTGATGGATACTTTGGTTATTTCCACACATTTTGTTAGGGAACAGTGCCACAGTGAGTAATAATATACATACATTATTTTACATATGTGTCAACTCCTAAGAGCTGAAATGTTAAGTAAAGGTGTATATGTGCATTTCTTACTTTATTAAGTTACTCTTGATAAAGGCTGTAATAATTTATGCTCTTATCAGTAATAATAAAAACTATAAGAAAAGTGATAATTTGATATAGATTTGATTTACATTTCCCTTACTATAAGTGAGGTTGAATACACCTTCTCTTTCTTTCTTTTTAAAAATTGTTTTGGTACCAGGGATCCAACTTGGGACCTTGCGCTTGTGAGGCAGGTGGTGGAACCACTGAGCTAAATCCCCAGGCTTTATGTCTTCTTTTTCTGTATTTGAGTCACATATATTTCTTTTTTCATTTCATATACTTTGTCTATTCTTCTACTGGACTATTTTTTGTATGTGTGATACTGGGGATTGAATTTGAAGCATTCACACCGAGCTACATCCCCAGCCTTTGTTATTTTTTATTTTGTGACAGGGTCTCATTCAATCACTAAATTTCCTAATCTGCTTTCTAACTAGTGATGCTCCTGTCTCAGGCTCCTGAGTGCTGGAATTTTAGACATGTACCACTATGCCTGCTTGATTTTTCTTTTTGTTATTAGTTATACTGTAGTAGCTCTGTAGATATTATAGTTTAATGTGAGTTACAATTGTAGGTATGCACACTGTTTTAATACGGAGTAGACATTTTGCCTCAGAGGTGTTCAAAACATGCACTTACTTCATAGGGCACCAACAGGGAATTTATGGACCAGCTCTCTTGACCATGATCCATTTTATAATACATTGATGGAATATTGCTTTATTTAGAGAAGACAACGCAGGCCTCATCAACTATTCAAACTCCACATGAAGCGGCCTGTTTTAACATAGTCTGCTTAACATGTCCTTAGAAGGCAGAGCCTGAATATTTGGCAGTCACAAGTTTGTTGAGTATCCAGTGACCTGCATCTTTTTCCCAGCAAGAAAGAAACAGCTGCGGCCTATCACCTTTGAGGATTTTGGCCAACAGCCTGGCATCGTGGGAATTTATTCAGCCTGCATTTCAGAGATATTCAGACCCAGCTAGAAGGCAAAGACATGAAAGGGAACGAAGAATATTGAAAATTTAGGCCTCTTGTGTAATTCATGGCAAGAAACAAAGCTAATTTCTGCTAAGCACTTAATGAAAGATGAACTGAAAATTGCTAAGAAACACATTTAAAAATAATTAATAAGTATGTATAATATTTTATT